CTGTTAGTAATTTAACCCATCTCTTATTGATGAACATTTGGATCTTTCTCTATTATGATGATGCCTCAACGATCTTTGTATATTTAATACTGAAGGATAAATTCCTTGAGGGATTTGGTCAAAGAGTATATACATTGTTCATTTCTAGTCAGTCATTTCTGTCATCTCTGCCTCCAAAATACATCTCCAGATGCATCTCCTGTCCCCACCTCTGCTGCCATGTTCATCTTTCACCGGCTACAGCAGCCACAACTGTTCACCCTGTTTCCACCCCGGCCCCGCCTGTCAAAATCCAGGCATCAGAGTGATCTTTAAAAACAGGACTCATATAATGTTTTATTTCTGCTTAGCACCCTTCTGTGGCCTCTCATTGTACAGAAAACAAAATCCAGACTCTGCCCCGAGGCCCACGAAGCCCTGCCCTGTGTGACTCTCTCTGGCTCCCTGCCCTCTCCTCATCTGGTGCACACATTGCGCTCCGGTCATTGCCGCCTCCTGGCCTTGGCCTCTGCCCTCCCTCCTGCCTGACACTCACTAGGCGGCTAGTCATCACCCAGCCTTCCCTGACCAGCTTTCATCAAGGGCTCCCTCACCCCACCCACTCTCTGTCCTGTCATCCAGGCAGGCCCTTTCCTTCACAGTCCTGGCCACATCTGAGATTACAATTCTTTTTCTTTATGCAGTGGTTGTTTGGGGTTCTGCCATCTTACTCCCACCATTACTTCAGCCCTTAGGGGCAACCTTAGCACGCCTGCATGCGTGAATAAATTAACAATGGTGGTCGCCACATCCTCCTTCCCCTTCACTGGTCCCTGACAGAATGGAAGGGAGTCTGTTTTACACTTGGATAATCTAGAAGGATCAGGGAGCAGTGGCTAAGGGCACAAGTCATAGCTCTGCCATTTCATCACTACAACAAGTTGGACCAGTTCAAAGGCGCTAGGCCTCAGTTCTCCAATTTTGGAAACTCCAGAAATGCAGTAACTTAAAATGTAGGTGTGCAACACTGTGAAGGTGATAAAGAGGCTGGAGGGAGCCTGCCTAGCTGACCATGGTTTCGAGAAGCCTAATGCCTCATCCAGATCTTTCCTGGAGCTAGCTGTGGTTGGTGATCCCAGTCCGCCACAGACATCAGCGGGGATTATCTTGGGGCCTGGGACTGACTGGGATTTCCTGGACAGTGACAGAAGTCTCCCAGCTAGGAGCCTCCCGGGTCGCCAGCCTCTGTTTTGTTGTTTGGCTCCATACCGACTGGGCGAGAATATGGGGATGCAGTGAGAGGGGTTTGCCCACTGTTTTCTCACCTGGCCTTGCCTCCACCCCTGCAGGACACAGAACTGAAGCCAATCCCATGTGAGATGGAAGTTTGGGCTGAGAACAGGAGCCAGTTGCCTAGCCCGTTTTAACAGGAGTTCATGTTTTCACAGGGTTTCATTCTACTTACCTGCTCTGCAGGGTTATTGTGAAGATCAAATGAGAGAAAGACTAGAATTGTTTTGTAAAGTACAGAGCACTATTCCACGGTAAAGGATGCTGATTTTCCAGTCCCTGAAACTGCTATTGAGCGGCAGGCCACCTGGGAAGTCACGTTCCTCCGTGGAGGAGCAGCAATCTGTTGACCTCCAGCTGCCTACCAGTCAGAGTTTGAACACATGAGCCGTGACCAAAGTCTGGTTTCTGTGACGGTTGCATGGGCCACCTCAATGCACTCAACTAGAAGACCTTGTTATTATCTTTTTAAATGTCATTGACATATGCGTGCTCACTTTTAATACAGGGGTTTTCAACCGCACCACTCTTGACATTTGACCAGATAATTCTTTGTTGTGGGGGACTGTCCTGTACATTCTAGGATGTTTAGCAATGTCCCTGAACTCTATCTACTAAATGCCGCTAGCGTTCCTTTCCCCCAGCTGTGACCAAAAACATCTCCAGTCATTGCCAAATAGCCCCTGGGGTGCGAAATCATCCCCATTTCAGACTCTGCTTTAATACAACAGAGAGACAGGGATTTGTTAACCCATTTTTGTGGATGCCAAAATGCAGATCAGAGGAGTTAGTAACTTGCTAAGGATTATATCACTAATGCCATCTCCAAAGCATGTGGGTGCTCACCACCCCTTGTTACAGCCACTACCCAGACACTGACATAAAATAGTCTTTCAGAAAATATTTGTCAGTTACCTGCTATGTGCCAGGTGTATTCTATTTGCTCAATAATATCACTGATACTTGGTATTAAGCAGGATAGGAGGGAGAGAGTGTAAAAGATAGACAGATCTGCTAGTTTCCTATTGTTGCTGTAACAAACTTACCACAGATTTAGCGGCTAATCTTATAGTTCTGGAGGTCAGAAATCTAAATTCAGTTTCACTGGTCTAAAATCAAGATGTCCGCAGACTTGTGTTCCTTCTGGAGGCTCTAGAGGAAAATCCCTTTCCTCCTCCTTCAAAGCCAGCAATATAACATCCTTTCTCCTCCCTGACCTCTGCTTATAGCCTGAGATCTTCTCTTTCTCATTCTGACTTTCCTGCTTCCCTCTTGGAAAGACCCTTGTGATGACATTAGGGCCATCAGGATAATCCACGATAATCTCCCCCATCTCAAAATTCTTCACTTAATCACGTCTGCACAGTGCCTTTGCTGTGTACGGTGACATTCACAGCCCCAGGGATTAGAATGTGGACATCTTTGGGGAACATTTACTCAGCCTGTAATAGTCTGCCTTCTGGCCCCCAAAGTTTTGTATTCATCTCACATGCAAAATACATCTGTATCATCCCAAGTTTTCCAAAAGTCTCAACATATTACACTATCAAGTAAAAAATATCATCTAAGTCTCATCTGCTCAAAGTTCTCATATTTCATCATATATATTATAAAAATTAGGGATGAGTGAGACTGGGTATAACCCATTTTAGAGCAAAGTTTCTCTCCATCTGTGGAATTGTGAAACAAGTCATCTGCTCCTAAATACAATGGTGGGTCAGGCATAGAATAGCAGTTATAGACATTCCCATTATAATAGGGAGAAAATTAAAAGAAAAAGGAGTCGCCAAACCCAAGTGATTTTGAAATCCAAATGGGCAAACGCCATTAGGTTTCAAGGCCCGGGAATAATCCTCTGTGGCTCAGGGCTCCACCTCTGTGCCATGGCTTAACCCTTGGAGTCATCCTTCCTCTTTCGTGAAGCAGCATGTGTTTGCCACTTAGTAATTTTACAAACCTGTTTCCTGCCTGTAGAATTTTGGGAGTCTGACAGCCTTCTTTTATTTTGTCCTTTTTCTCTCCCATTCAGTTCAAGCTGATATGACATTCTCAAAAACCACGTGGGTCTCCGATGCGTGTTTCTAGAATTCACTCCATTAGACAAGAGGCTTATCCACAGATCTTTCCTGGATAATCCCATCTCTATTCCTGCTTCTACTGAGATGTCTAATGGGATCCATGAGCCTCATGTCTAATCTTCAGAGAGCCCTCAGTGTGATTGAAAACTCTAAACTTTGGATCCTTCTGAGGCACTAGCAAAAGGTTATCCAGTCACACCCTTGGTTTTCTCTCCAGAGCATGCTTTTCTGACAGGGAATCTCCTAATTTTAATATCTTTTGCAACCTGGATTGACTGAGAATTTCCCAAATAGTCAAACCTCAGTTCTGTTTTACCTAATCATTCTTCTCTCACTCTGTCTCTTTCCTCTCATTTTTTATTCTAATCAGCAAGAAGAAATCAGACTGCATTCAACACTGCTTGGAAATCTCTTCAGCTAGGTATCCAAATCCATCATTTACAAAGTTCCACTTAGCACATAATTGTAGGACACAATTCAGCTAGAATTCTGCCACTACGTAACTGGATTCCCTCTCCTCTAGTTTCCATACGTGTTCTTATTTCCTCACCAGCGGCCCCTGTAATGTCCATATTTCTGTCATTGGTCTTGTTAGGATGATTTCTCTAAGATGATCAGATTTTTCTACACCGTGCTTCTCACTTCTTCATGAGCCCTCGCTGATTCGCAGGGCCGAGGGATTAGGACTTAAACATCTTCAGAGAGTCATTATTCAGCCTGCCGCATAACTATGAAGTTTATTGGTCAACCACCAAACCTTCGCTGATTGCTTCTCCTTTTCTCACCACTATCTCAGATACTACGAGGGCCACGGGGGTAGTGTAGCTAGGCTGACCAAACATACTGGTTTTCCCAGACAGTCCAGTTTATGCTTTTTTGTTCCCGTGTAAATGTAGTGGTGTTCTTTTTCAAAAATATTCTGGCTTTGGTGATAAATTTTTTGGTTACTCTTAGATCTTAATGCTTGGGCTAAAGATTGTAAATCTACAGTCTCACGAAGATGAAACACATGAACAAATTGTCAAGCAGTTATAGTTAAGTGCTAAATGTTCTGACATTTAGGTGCTTCTAAACATCCTTCTGTATGGTAAAATGTCTGGTAGATAGTTGTGCGCAGGACAGCCCCGTACAACTATCTATCTGCCAGACATTTTACCGTATAGAATTTCAGAGTCATCTGGAGGCCTTTGGGATTTCATATTCAAAGTGTGGTCCCTGGACCAGCAGCATCGGCATCACCATGTTAGAAATGCATATTCTCAGGCTCCATCCAGAACCCACTGAATCAGAAACTCAGAGGATGGGATCCCGCAATCTGTTTTAACAAGCCCTCAAACCAACACACACACACACACACACACACACACACACACACACACACACACACACACACACACACATTCTTAGAGGCGTCCCAGGCATGTGAACACCACGCCGCAATTAATACTATAAATACTGCTTCATCCAGAGAGTTGCTCATTTGTTCCCTCCCTTTGTTTTCTCGTCTTCAAAGTGATGACAATACATGGATAGAGATGATTTTGGTACATGTTAGTTTGGTTGCAATAGTTCTTCGATTCTAAGGATCTGTTTTCAAATGACCTTTTCTCAGAGAGATATATTCTATTTTTCACTTTTCTTGACTTTTGGCAGGAACTGAGGAAAAGTCTGGAGCTTAGTGTAAGTCTACAAAGGAAACAAAAGGATTGTTCCAGTGATGAGTATGACTCCATCGAAGAAGACGTACTCTCTGAGCCCGAGCCTGAGGACCAGGTGCTGGTGGGCCATCCCAGACACGACCCCCCTCTGTCCAGTGAGGACTCAGTGCAGAAGGATGTTCCTGAGGACCAGGAGACAGAAGGACGCCCTCCCCAGGGCCCAGACACCCTCGTGGTGCTGGAATTTAACCCGGCTTCCAAAAGTGAGCTCCATCTTACCGTGGCATTTCTTTGCCTTTGATATCTCTGGATCTAATAGGAGGACTTAAGTTTCCAGCAGTGTTTTGAGTTCGGCTTTGGGTAGACTGCCTCGCAGCCTGGGGAGATGTATCAGTCAGGTCTCTGTTGACTGCAAGAGGCAAAGGCTCCCAAAGGCCCCCAGATGATCCTGAAATTCCAGATGGTAAATGTCTGGCAGATAGTTGTGGGGGCTGTCCTGTGCATTGTGGGATGTTTAGCAGCATCTGCAGCCAATTAGCTTAAGCGAAAGGGTCTACACATTGGCTTGGATAACCAAGGAGTCCAGGGCTTTGCAGGACTCGTCTCTCTCCTCTCCTCTCCCCTTCCCCTCTTCTTCCCTCTCCTCCCCTCCCTTTCCCTTTTCTTCTCTTTTCCTTCTCCTTCCTTTCCTCCCTCTTGCTTCTGCCTTCTTTTGTCCTGACTTCATACCATTCTTAGGTAGGCGCTCCACAGACAGACACGGGGTTGAGACATTGGCTTTGTAGCTTCATCAGGAAGTGGATTTCTCTTCCTAAAAGCTCCAACCAAAGCCCCAGGCCTGGATCTTGAACCCACGTTGGGTCACACATCTCTGAACTAGTTGCAGTGGCTCTAATTGGCCAGGTCCGGCCACTAGGACTACGGGTGTGTTTATTGCCACCCAAAGCAATGAACTGACAGTAGTCTTCAAAGGAAAATCAAGGCAAATCTGAAGGAGGCAGAAAGTGTGCTGGGTGGGCAGAAACTGCAGTGTCCGCCAGGGGAGGCTCTCCAGAGAAACTCTGGAAAGTAGAGTGAAAAAAACAGTTGGTGGGGGGCGGGGCAGGGCTTACCCGAGGCAGTCCTCACCCTGCATCCAAGCTGGCTCAGCCTCCACCTGCTGCTCCCTCTCCATTCTGAGCACATTCTTCTCAAAGCTGAGTGTGTCATAGTTTCTGAACGAAATACCAGGACCAGCCAGTTGGGAAGCTCGAGTGAACCTAAGGAAAGAGAAATGAGGGAATGTTTGAAATCAGTTAGTGAGTTAATTTAGTCTGTCCGGGCTGCCCTAACGAAGTCCCACAGATGGAGGTGGAGTTGGGGTGGGGCTTAAACAGCAACAGAAAGTTATCGTCCCACAGTCCTGGAGGCTGGAAGTCCGAGATCAGGGAGTCGGCAGCGTCGGTTTCCTGTGAGGCTTCTCTCCTTGGGTTGTACCTGGCTGTGTCTTCACATGGTTTCCCCCTGTGTGTGTCTGTGTCCTAATTTCAGTCTTCATATAAAGATACCAGTGAGAATGGATCAGTGCCCACCATAATTGACTCATTTTACCTTAATTACCTCTTTAGAGACCCTGTCTCCAAACACAGTCACATTCTGAGGTACCGAGTGTTAGGACTTGAACATATGAGTTGTGGGGGGACATAACAGGCAGCCACACCCAAAGGTCGACGTCCTCAGAGAGGGGAATCTTTGTCCCTCAGAGGTGCTCTCATGTCCCTCACCTCTAAACCCTTGATTGGGCTGATCCCTTACCTTTCCTCTTCACGCTGACCCCTGAAACCGGGCTCTCTGCTCTCCCCTGAGGACTCAGCTCAGAGGCTGCTTCCTCCTGGATGCCTCCATGTGCTGCCAGCAGGGCCTGCTGCTGGTGCCTCCTCTTCTCCCACGGCGTCCTCCTGGCTCTGGTCTCGCTGACCCTTGCTGTCTTTCTCCCCGTCTGGCGTGCGAGCTCTGCCAGGGCGCAAGGCCAGCTCTTCCCCTCTCTCGCATCCCCAGCATCGGGCACTCACCTGGCACATTCAAGCTGCCCGAGAAATCTTTGTCAAACAAATGAGGGAGCTGCGCCCACCTGCTCGGGCGACCAGTGGTCAAGGCAGTGCCCACGTGCTCCTTCCCGTGAGACCTGCTGGGACAGCGCAGATGTGCACCGCAGTGGGCTGTGTTTTCTTCAGGTCGTGGGGCGAGGGCGAGGGCCGCCAGGAGGTTGACAGAGCCCCCACCCTGGAAACGTGGGGGCGTGGCAATCACTTGCAAGTATGAAGGACCAGACCATAGAAGGACAGTTGGACCCCAGGCACAGTTTGAATGTGATACTGGGACGTAAAATGAAAAAAAGGAACTTTACTTTCTTGACATTTTACTTTTTTAACAATCAGATTGCTTGGCAGGCCCCGTGTTGACTGAGGCTGTGTCTGGCATGCGAGCGCACAGAGGGGTGGCACGCCTGCCTGCTACTCTACCCTCATCTGCCTGCTTGCATCGGCAGCCTCTGGCTGGCTTCTTTAGCCTCAGCAGGAGACAGATGCCCCCTGAAGGGAGCTGGAGGGCGGTTCGAGGGCCTGTTGTCAGGTCTCCCCAGACCTTGGTGTTCTGAACTAATCCTGAGCATTTACTCAAGACCAGGGTGGGCACGTGCCTGCTACTCTACCCTCATCTGCCTGCTTGCATCGGCAGCCTCTGGCTGGCTTCTTTAGCCTCAGCAGGAGACAGATGCCCCCTGAAGGGAGCTGGAGGGCGGTTCGAGGGCCTGTTGTCAGGTCTCCCCAGAG